CACCCCGCGCCGGCAGCTTCTCCCGCAACCGGGCCTTTAGGAAGCGGAGGCGGGACGGCGGGCAGAAGGCGGGCCTCGGCGAGGGCCTGAAGGCCGTCGCCCCGGCCGCAGGCGGCCCCGGGGCTGGCGGAGGACGGCGCGGAGAGCACGGCAGCCCGCCTCGGCACCCCCCCTTCTCCCTTCCCCTCACCCCCCCCTCCGCGGCCGCCCCCGGGCTCACATTTTCCGCTGCCGCTCGAACTCCGCTTTTTTCTCCTCCTCCTCCCGCTTCTGCTTCTCGTCCAGGCTGCTGCGCTTGCTCACCGTGCGGCCGAAGATGTCGATGCGGTCGGGCGGGGAGGAGGCGCGGTCGCGCTCTCGCTCCCGGTCGCGGCGGGAGGAGGGGGCCGTGTTGGAGCGGGAGCGGGAGCGCGACTCCCGGCGCCGGTTCCGCTTGCTCTCCCGGGACTTGGAGCGTTTCCGCGCCCGCTCCTTCTCCCGGGAGCGGGACCGCGATCGGCTCCGGTTCTTCTTGTTGTGCTTGGAGCTCTTGGTGTGCTTGGAGCGGGACGAGCTCCGGCTGCGAGACCGGCCCATCCCGGCAGAGGAGGCGAGGAGAGGAGAGGCCGCGCCGGCGACCGCCCGGCCGCCCCCGTCCCCTTCCGCTAGCGGCGCCCGAGGGAGGTGCGGGGAGGCTCCGCACGCATCGGCGCCGCCCGGGCGGGCCCCTCGTCCTCTCCCTTCCCGCCGGCTCCGCGCTGCGAGGAGGAGGAGGAGGCCCCGAAAGCGGGAGCGAGTCCGGACGCAGGCAAGATGGCGGCCCTAGCAGAGCGGTGACTCTCCTCTTCCGCCCCACAATGCGCTGCGCCGCGCCCGAGCCGTTCGCTCCCCCGCCTTCGGCGTCGCGCCGGAGGAGCACGAACGCACTCGGCAATCTTCGGCAACCAATGGCGAGCGTCGCTCCAGGAGGGACCCCCCCCCCCACACCTCAGGCAGACCGTGTGCCCCCGCGCATGCGCGCAGCCTAGTCTCGGCGTTGCCGCCGGCGGAGGAGGCGTTTCGGGGAGGTTACGCGGGGCCGGGCTGGGCCGGGGTGGTTAAGGGCGGCGGGGCCGGGCCGTCGGGGGTCAGCCGGTGCGCTGGGGGGCTGCTTCGCTCGCCGGTGTCCCCAGCAGCCGTGCTGTCCTTGCCGTTAGTGCCGCGGGGCCGGGCGGGCGGCGGCTGGGCCGCGGTGAGGGCAGGCTCCTCAGGAGGGAGGGCGGGGGTGTGTGTGTGTGAGGCGCTGAGGAGGGAAAGGTAAGGGGGG